TCCAGAGGCATGCCTTAGCATGGAACTTGGCCCAAGTTCTCTGCATAGGGGTGCCAGAGGCAGCCTAATCTCTTAATCCAGGAGGGTGGCTGCTCCAAATTCCTGGAGATCTGCCTCATTGTGGAGTGGAGAGGGTCTCCTTGCACAAATATCCCTGCACAGGAAGGATGGGGTGGCTCAGGCTACTGCTCCAGGCAAGGAGGTGCTCCAAATACCTGGAAATCTGTGGAGCAGAGAGGGTCCCACTGCACTGCAGTTCTTCTCTGCACCAGAAGAATGGAGCAGCTCCGACTGCTGATTCATGCTAATGGCACTCTGAATCCCTGGATATCTGCCTGGGCATGGAGTGGAGATGGCCCCCTTGCACAAGGATCTCTGCACAGGAAGGATGGGGCAACCCAGGCTGCTAGCCCATGCGAGCAAGTGCTTTAAATGCTTGGCAATCTGCTTATGTGTAGAATGGAGAAGGCCCTGCTACACCACAGTCTCAGGAAAGTAGGCTGGGACACCCAGCAATAACACACACAGACCAGTTCTAGTTCATCAAGCTGGCCCTGGCTGAAAGTCTCATTGCCCAGGAGAAACCACAGCCGTAGCAGCTCTCCTCCCGCCCAAGGTCTGTGACTGGGGAAAGCACAATTCCAGTGCCTACTGTTGAGATGTTTTCCACGGTTCTGTCTGTGGAGGACCCTACCCTGATCCAGAGCAGGTGCTCCAGTCTCTGTCCCAATACTAAAATGCCTGCATGGCCACGCTGCTGGGTTGCCAAAGAACGGCTGACTTTAGATGCACACAAATTAAAAATGGTGTCCTGTTCTCTGTCCTGGGGCTGGGAAAACACCTGTAGCTTTTTCCAGTATCCGTCTCTGTCAGTGTCTCCAAGCCTCTCGCGAAGTTAGCTCCAGGATTTGAGAGAAACAAAGTGCTGTCTCTCAGCCTGCGTTGCTCAGATCCCCAGTGGAAACGTGAGTCACAGAGGGAAGCTTCTACCTCTCATGTGCTGGGACTTCATTCACTTTTATCAGCTGGACAGCATTATGGTGGCTGTTTGCCAGCATTCTCCTCCTCCGGATCTGCAGTGTTCTTCACAATTCCAGTGGATCTCCGTTTTCCTTCTTGAATTAAAGCTCACAGAATTTATCTTTATGCACTGCCTTGCTATTTCCAAGCAACTGTGGCATGTTAAAAGCCTCTAATTGCCATCTTGAAAAAACAAATCTATCAACAATGTTTGATATGAGTTAGCCAATACTCAATTGAAAATAAGAAAAATTTTTATGTGCAAGGATAGTCTCTGAGGTTGAGCACTTTTGTTCAGTGATGAGTCATTTGAATTACCAACATGGTTAATGCTATAGAAATCTATGGAACCCATTTCTTTAAGAAATAGATTCATATCTTAATAAAGAACATCTTTTTTATTGTTTAATTGCCAAAACAACATGTTAGCCTATTACTGTAAGTAACCAGTTCAATCATAGCCATTCACATCATGTAGTACCAAGTGGTATTTTTTCAGAAAAAATGAACATGAGGAAGAAAACTCCTTGACTGGAAAAAAAATTGATACATATAATCATTACAGAGCTGTATATGTATATAACACTAACTGTGAGATGAATGAAGAAAACTCAGATTCACTGTTGAGTAGCTTATAATTTCGAAGTCCTCTGCTAGACATGAAAACTATTTAGTGTTGAACAAAAATAGGATACTATATCTCACAACTCCTATATAAATGTTTCCATTCCTACTTTATTTCTGCTTTCATTTTCACGGCGCATCTACAGTCTCTCTTCCGGCCTCCCATTTGTATTTTACAACATGCATAATTACAGATTTATTCTTTAATTATCTCATTTTCATATGAGTTTTATATCTCTTGAAAGATTTCTTTGAAACTTCTGCTTTTTTTATTTTCCAGAGCAGCAGAGTATTTTTAGGCAATAATATTTTACCTTATTATGCCTTTCAATTATTAAAAGAAAAAGGGAAAGTAGTAAAATAAACAAATGTAGAGAGTCACCAACTTACAGTGGTTTCACTTAAGATTTTCAACTGTACAATAGTGGGAAAGTGATATGTATTCAGTAGAAACCATATTTCAAATACTCATGCAACCATTATCTTTTCATTTTCAGTACAGTATTCAGTAAATTACATAAAATATTCAACAGTTTTCTATAATATAGGCTTTGTGTAAGATTATTCTGCCCAACTGTAGGCTAATGTTAGTGTTCTGAGCATGGTTAAGGTGGGCTAGGATAAGCTATGATGTTTGGTAGGTTAGGTTTATTAAACATATGTTCAAGTCAGGTATAGGGGTGTGTGCCTAAAGACCCAGCTGCTCAGGAAACTGAGGCAGGAGGATTGTTTGAGCTCAAGGAGTTTGAGAATATAGTGCACTACGAGTACACCTGAGAATAGCCACTGCACTCCAGCCTGGGCAACATGACAAGAGTCGATATTTTTTTTAAAAAAGCATCAGCTTACAATATTATCAACTTCTGATGGGTTTATTGGAACATAATCCTATCATAAGTTGAAGAGTATCTTTATATAGTAGAATATAGTAACATACTACAGACTTGTTTCCTCAAAACATAAAGATAAACCACACTAATGATCATCCATGGGAGAGGGACACCCAGGCAGTGTCCTGCAAAATGAGAAATACTTGTAGGCCATACTTCACATTCCTGACTGAGTCTCTTCCCCATGAAATAAAATCATTAAGAAATTTTTAGTAACATTTTAATTATTATATTTTAATTAAAAATTTAGGTATAGAAAGAAGATTGTATAGCTTTACATTAAAAATAAATTATTATGTGACTTGGCTACTTGACACCAACTAGCTTGTGTCAGATTCACCCTCCCACCATAAAAAACTATACAATCTGGACAAAATATAGAAAAAAATTCTTGGCAGGTGCATTAGTCTGTTCTCATGCTGCTAATAAAGACATACCCAAGACTGGGTAATTTATAAAAGAAAGAAGTTTAGTGGACTCACAGTTCCACATGGCTGGGGAGACCCCACAATTATGATGGAAGGCAAAGAAAAAGCAAAGGCACATCTTACATGGCAGACAAGAGAGAGGGCACGTGCAGGGGAGCTCCCCTTTGTAAAACCATCAGATCTCGTGAGACTTATTCACTACCACAAGAACAGCACGGGAAAGACCCGCCCCCATGATTCAATTACCTCTCACCAGGTCCTAAGCATGGTTCAGGTGGGCAAGGCTACATGTGGGAATTATAGGAGCCACAATTCAAGATGGGATCTGGGTAGGGTCACAGCCAAACCATATCAGTAGGCACTGAAGAACATTGTTGCAGCAAGTCAGGTATGAGATCTTTAAGAAAGGTGAAGCACATGAGATTTGTACCACATTTGCCAGGATTTTCCAGAAAGGCACCTTCCTGACGTTGGTACAGGAAAATGAGACCCAACCAGGGGTTAGTGGTCTTGGGAACCAAAAGAAGCAATGAATAGAGTTCAAAGCTGCTAAATTGGTTTGGAATTGGGGGTCAATGTACCATATGGGAGAGAGAAAGAACCTAGAAATGGGTGTGTAGATGCCATTTTGGTCCTTCTGTGACTTCTTAGCTATGTGACAGCTGGTTAAGAAGAGAGGAGATGTAGTAGAAAACAACGGCTGGTATACAGAAAGCAGAAGAGATCATCAGGGACTGAAAATTTACTGGAAAGCTACTGGAGTTCAGATCCAGCCAGATGGGGAAATGTTGGTAAACAACTGAGAAACTCACTTGGACTCTAAAAATTATCTTAGGAGAGGTGCAGTATCCTAGGAGTGAGGCATATGTTCTAAGAGGAAAATAAAATATCATTACCATAATACAGCTTAAAACTACGTCTTGAGAGCAGCAAGATGATCTACAAGTAATTACAACTTCTGCCCAGATAAAAAAATTCAAAATTCTTGAGTATTTCAATATTATATTAGCCATAAATTCAGCATACTTTAAAAAAAATACCAAATATACAAAAAAGCAAGAAAAGAAGACTGATGAGAAATAAATCAGTTATTAAAAACAAATTCATAGAGAATCCAGATATTGGAGTTAATAGATAGAGCCTCATAATATCTATGATCAATATAAAGGGAAGAAAGAAAAAATGAAAGACAAAACAGGTTGTGTCAGATTTCTTTCTGGCAGCTCTGAAATGCTCACTTTATTTTCACAGAATCTAATTTCCTAAATTATGTTTGATGTTTCAAGCAAAAATCATAGCATTGCCTAGTGTTATTCTAAATGTATGTAAGACAATTATACTACAAATTTGAGAGGGCAAAGAGGCATAATATGACAGAGGGTTGCTATACTTCACTCAAACTGGAATACAGATGACACCCATTTAGTGTGATAATGTATATATAAAGGAATATATACTAAGCTATAAAATGCAACCTAAACAACTATAAAAAAGAAGACACGCTATAAATACTATGAATAACAAAATGGAATTCTAAAACAAATATTCAAATAACCTACAGGAAGTCATCAAAAATAAACAGAGAAACAAGAATTGATACAGAAAAAAAAAAAAGTCAGGCTTATGCGCTAAAATATCCATAATTAGACTAATTATGAATGGTCTACCAAGACACAGATAATAGAAGAGTGTATTTAAAAGAATAACTCTTTCGTATATATTTCTTGTATGCTGTGTACAAGAAACTCACTAAATTTACCAATACAGGGCAGGCCAAATTAAAAGGATGAAAAAAGATATATTACACAAACATTAATGCAAGGAAAGCAAGAGTGCCTGTATGTATATCAGATAAAGCAAAGAAAATTACCAGAAACAGACAGATTATATAATGATCAAAGGTTTAATCCATGAAGAAAACGGCGATTTTAAAAGGGTACTCACCAAACAACAGAGCTGCAAAATATGTCATGTGAAAACTGCCAGAACTAAGGCGGGTCAGGATGGGACCTGCGTTGCCTCAGGATGTAAAGTGTAACAAGGGGGCAGGGGGGATGAGGGGACAGCAGCATGGGCCTGTGAGGCCTGTGGGGTGCCCGCGTTCCCAAACCCCCCCGCAGCCGGCTCTGCAGTGGTCCGCTCCGCTAGGTGGCCGCGTGCGGATTCGGATTCCAGACCCCAGGCTGCGTGTTCTCCACCGCTTGTTATGGCCAGTGTTACTGCGGAGACCCCAGAGCAGCCTCGGCGCTATGGAGGAGCCGGGCGCTACCCCTCAGCCCTATCTGGGGCTGGTCCTGGAGGAGCTACGCAGGGTTGTGGCAGCACTGCCTGAAAGTAGGAGACCATATTCGAATCCTTATGGTTTTCCATGGGAACTGGTGGTATGTGCAGCCGTTGTTGGATTTTTTGCTGTTCCCCTTTTTCTGTGGAGAGCTTTTAGATCCGTTAGGAGTCGGCTTTATGTGGGAAGAGAAAAACAACTTGCTGCAACGCTTTCTGGACTAATTGAAGAAAAATGTAAACTACTTGAAAAATTTAGCCTTATTCAAAAAGAGTACGAAGCCTATGAAGCAGAGTCGTCTTTAGAGGATGCCAGCTTTGAGAAGGTGGCAGCAGAAGCACGAAGTTTGGAGGCAACTTGTGAAAAGCTGAACAGGTCCAATTCTGAACTTGAGGATGAAATCCTCTGTCTAGAAAAAGAGTTCAAAGAAGAGAAATCTAAACATTCTCAACAAGATGAATTGATGGCAGATATTTCAAAAAAGATACAGGCTCTAGAAGATGAGTCAAAATCCCTGAAATCACAAATAGCAGAAGCCAAAATCATCTGCAAGATCTTTAACATGAGTGAAGAACGACGCGAGATAGCAATACAAGATGCTTTGAATGAAAATTCTCAACTTCAGGAAAGCCAGAAGCGGCTTTTGCAAGAAGCTGAAGTATGGAAAGAACAAGTGAGTGAACTTAATAAACAGAAAATAACATTTGAAGACTCCAAAGTACACACAGAACAAGTTCTGAATGATAAAGAAAATCACATCAAGACTCTGACTGGACGCTTGCTAAAGATGAAAGATCGGGCTGCTGTGCTTGGAGAGGACATAACGGATGATGATAACTCGGAATTAGAAGTGAACGGTGAATCGGAAAATGGTGCTTACTTAGATGATCCTCCAACAGGAGCTTTGAAGAAACTGATTCATGCTGCTGAGTTAAATGTTTCTTTGAAAACCTCGGAAGGAGAAAGAAACCACATTATTATTGAGTTATCTGAAGTTGACAAAACAAAGGAAGAGCTTACAGAGCATATTAAAAATCTTCAGACTCAACAAGCATCTTTGCAGTCAGAAAACATGTATTTTGAAAGTGAGAATCAGAAGCTTCAACAGAAACTTAAAATAATGACTGAATTCTATCAAGAAAATGAAATGAAACTCCACAGAAAATTGACAGTAGAGGAAAATTCCCGGATACAGGAAGAAGAGAAACTTTCTAAAGTGCAAAAAAAGATCAGCCATACCACTGAAGGGCTGGAGACCTATGGAAAGCTAGCCAAAGATCTTGAAGAAGAATTGAAGAGAACTATTAATTTTTATCAAAGGCAGGTTATTTCCTACGAGAAAAAAGGACATGATAATTGGTTGGCAGCTCAGACTGCTGAAAGAAACCTCAATGATTTAAGGAAAGAAAATGCTCACAACAGACAAAAATTAACTGAAACAGAGTTTAAATTTGAACTTTTAGAAAAAGATCCTCGTGCACCTGATGTTTCAAATACAGCATTTGGCAGAGGGCATTCTCCATGTGGTCCCTCACCATTGGGTCAGCCTTCATCTGAAACGAGAGCTTTTCTGTCTCCTCAAACTGTGTTGGAGGGTCCACTAAGACCCTCACCTGTGCTTCCGGAGGGAGGAGGAAGAGGCCCAAGAGGCCCAGGGAATCCTCTGGACCATCAGATTACCAATGAAAGAGGAGAACCAGGCTGCGATACGTTAACCGATCCTCACAGGGCTCCTCCTGACACTGGGTCCCTGTCGTCTCCGTGGGAACAGGACCGTAGGATGACGTTTCCTCCACCAGGACAATCACATCCTGATTCAGCGCTTCCTCCACAAAGGGAAGACAGATTTTATTCTAATTCTGATGGACTGTCTGGGCCAGCAGAACTCAGAAGTTTTAATATGCCTTCTTTGGATAAAATGGATGGGTCAATGCTTTCAGAAATGGAATCCAGTAGAAATGATGCCAAAGATCATCCTGGTAATTTAAATGTGCCTGATTCATCTCTCCCTGCTGAAAATAAAGCAACCGGCACCGGCTTTGTTCCTCCACCTCTAGCTCCAATCAGAGGTCCATCGTTTCCTGTGAATACAAGAGGTCCATTCATGAGAAGAGGACCTCCTTTCCCCCCACCTCCTCCAGGAACCATGTTTGGAGCTTCTCGAGGTTACTATCCACCAAGGGATTTCCCAGGTCCACCACGTGCTCCATTTGCAGCGAGAAACATCTATCCACCAAGGGGTTTTCCTCCTTACCTTCACCCAAGACCTGGATTTTACCCCAACCCCACATTCTGAAGGTAGAAGCAAGTTCCCTTCAGGGTTGATTCTGTCTTCCAAGGAGCCTGCTACTGAACAACTAGAACCACAGCAAGAAACCCGACAAGATTTTTGCTCTCTTCAAAAGTAATTTAGACTGATCTCATTTTCAGTTTAAGTAACGGCTGTTACTTAAGTGATTACACTTTTCTCAAATTGAAGTTTAAGGAATTATAGTTCTTAGTATAGTAGTTTATAAATAAAGATGATTTAAATACAAATCTATGAGTAAATCATTTCCATTTTATTATATTCTAGATCGTATAACGTTTAATCGCAGGAACTAATCCACTACTATAGCAACAACAGTGGGAGTTTTATATGTGTAATCTCGCAGGTGGGGAGGCTTTAAATTCTAAAGGCTGTGTCTTCATGCCAAGAACTGTATTCACTGTGGTTGTAGATAAATGAGAAAGTAACTTTATGCTTAATTAAATACATTTTAGTTGATTTTTTTAAAAAAGAAAACTGCCAGAACTGAAAGGAGATATAGACGAATCCACAATTATAGTTAGAAACTTCCTCATGCCTTTTTCAATAATTGACAGAACTAGACAGAAAATCAGCAAGGAGTGTTGGCTTTGGCAGCACTTTCTAAAATTAGAATGATGCAGACAAGATTAACACGGCTCCTGCATATAGATTACACAAAATTTTGCGAGGCGTTACATATTTTTAAAAAGAGGGGAAAAAATCAGCAAGAATATAAAACAACTCAAAATGCCATTAACCAAAAGAATCTATTTGGCATTTACAGAATATGCCACACAACAGCAGAATACACGTATTTTTTCGAGTGCTGACAAAACACATGGCAAGATAGAGCTATCCTAGGCCCTAAAATTCACCACAGCAAATTTAAGAGATAGTAATCATCCAGAGCAGGTGAAAACCAAAAATCATTGTAGGGAATCCAATTGGAAGTCAGCATAAGAAAGATATGAAAATTCCCAAACACTTGGAAATGTAAAAACACACTTCTAAATAATCTATCGGTCAAAGAAGAAGTCTCAAGGAAAATTTTAAAAATACATTGGACTGGATAAACATGAAACTGTGACATATCAAAGTGCTGAGAAGCCAACTTATAGCAATAAATGCATGCATTAGGAAAGAGGAAAAGTCTCGAGTGAGCAATAGATTTCCACCTCAGGAACCTAGAAAAAGAAGAGCAGAATAAACTGAAAGCAAGTAGAGGGTGGGGATTAATGAAGATAAGAACAGAAAACACTTACATTTAAAAGAGAAAAACAATAGTTAAATCAATGAAACAAAGAGATAGCTCCGTTAAGAGATTAATAAAATTTAGCAAACTCAAGTAGAAATTAAAAGGAAAAGATACAAATTTTAAAAATCATAATGAAACAGGCGATATCACTACAGACACCGTACATCACAAAGGACAATCAAGGAATATTACAAACCACTCCACACACATAAATTAGACAACTTAGACAAAAGAGACAAAATGCAGTGTTCCTGCTGCAACACACTAACTCAACTCACCACGCAGGAATAGACCATTTGAAGAACTCTATAACCATTAAGAAAATAGAATTCATAATTTTAAAACTACCAAAAAAGAAATCTCTAGGTTTAGATGGTTTCATTGGAGAATTCTGACAGGTTTTAAAAAATGTTAACACCAATTCTACACTATCTTTTCCAGAAAACAGTAAAAGAACATTTCCCAATTTATATTTTGAAGCTATTATTGCACTGATACCAAAACCAGGAGAGAGTGTGTGTGTATTTATACATACACACATATATACATATATATATATATATAAAGATGTGTTCAATTTACTTAACAAATAGACTTCTACACTATATTTTTCAAAATTGACCCATGTCCAATAGGGGATTGTTTCCAGAAAAACAAGCCTGATTAAATCTCACAAAGTCAATCAAAATAATCCACCATGTTAACAAACAAAAGAAGGAAAGTTACATTATATCAGCTGATACATAATAAACATTTAACACATTTTGACATCCATTCATGATAAAAGCACTCTATAAAGCGAGAATAGAGGAAACTTTATCCACTTGATAAAAAGCATCTACAAAAACCTAACATTATAGAGTCATGTGTTGTTTAACGATGCGGATACATTCTGAAAAATGTGCATTCAAGTGATTTTGTCATTGTGGGAACGTCCTAGAGTGTACTTACACAGATCTAGATGGGATATATAGTAGCCACTATACACCTAGGCTATATGGAATAGCCCATCACTCCTAGGTGACAAACCTGTACAGCGTATTACTGTACTGAATACTATAGGCTATTATAATACAATTAAGTGTTACATTTATGGTAACAATTTGCTAAAACTCACCAACTATGGTATTTATGTATCTAAGCATATCTAAATACATAAAATGCACAGTAAAAAAATATAACCTGAAAGATTTTTTTAAATGGTACATCTGTATACGGCATTTACCATAAATGGAGCTTACAGGACTGAAAGTTGCCTGGGTGAGTGAGTGAGTGGTGAGTGAATATGAAGCTCTAGGATATTACTGTACGATACTGTAGACTTTATAAACACTGTACACGTAAGTTACACTGAATTCATTAAAACATTTTTCTTTCTTCAACAATAAATTAACCTTAGCTTACTATAACTTTTACTTTATAAACTTTTTAATTTTTAATCATAATTTGATTCTACTTTGTAATAACACCACTTAAAACACAAATATTAGGAAGCTGCACAAAAGGTTTTCTTTTTTTATATCTTTATTCTACAGACATTTTTCTACTTGTGAAACTGTTTATTTTAATTATTTACTTTTTAAAAATTTGTTATTGAAAACTAAGACACACATCAGCCTAAGTCTACCTAGTATCTAGATCATCTATATCAGTCTTCCACCTGCACATCTTGTCCCACTGAAAGGTCTTCACAGGTAAGAGCATGCATGAAGATGTCGTCTCCTATGATAGCAATGCCTTCTTCTGGAATACCTCTTGATGGACTTGCCTGAAACTGTTTAGGAGTTAACATTTTTATAAGTAAAAGGAGTACACTAAAATAATGACAAAGGTCAGGCACAGTGGCTCATACCTGTAATCTCAGTACTTTGGGAGGCTGAGGTAGGCACATCATTTGCAGTCAGGAGTTCAAGAAAAGCCTGACCAAAATAGTGAAACCCCATCTCTACCAAAAACATAAAAAATTGGCCAAGCATGGTGCTGCACACCTGTAATTTCACCTACTTGTGAGGCTGATTTCACCTACTTCAAGAATCACTTGAACCCAGGAGGCAGAGGTTGCAGTGAGCTGAGATTGCAACACTGCACTCCAGCCTGGACAACAGAGCAAGACTCCATCTCCAAAATAAAATAAAATAAAATAACGACAAAAAGTTTAGTAGAATGTTGTAAATGCATAGTAAAATGCATAGTTGTCTGCTTTTATATCACACTGGGAGTGCAGTAGGATTGTTTACAGCAGCAATCCCACAAACATGTAAGTAATGCATTGTGCTACAACATTATCATGACTAAGACATCACTTGGCAATATGAATTTTACACCCCCATTATAATCTTGTGGGACCACTCTCATATATGCAGTCCATCACTGACCAAAGTGTTATGTAGGACATAGCTATACTAACATCATATTTAGTGGTGAAAAACCGAATGGTTTCTCTCTAAAATCAAGAATAAAGGAACTATATCTGTTTTTATCACCCTTATGCAAAACAGTGCTGGAAGTTACACACTGTGCAATAAGACAAGAAAATAAAGGACATATAGGTCAGGATGGAAAAAAGAGAACAGTCCCTACTTACAACAGACATGACTGTCTACATAGAAATCCAAACAAATCTATTTTAGAAACCTCCTAAAATTAAGAAGTGAGTCCATTAAGGTCACAGAATTTAACATAAACACAATCAAATTAATTCTATTTCTATATACAGATATAACTCATTTTATCGTTCTGCAATTTATTGTGCTTCATAGATACTGCATTTCCATTGGGCTAAAATTTTGTGGCTAACCTGCCTCAAGCAAGTCTATCTGCACCATTTTTCCAACAGCATGTTCTCATTTTGTGTCCTAGGTCAAAATTTTAATGATTTATACAGTATTTAAAACTGGTTTGTTATTATTATGTCTGTTATGATGATGTGATCAGTGATCTTTGATGTTACTATTGTAATTGTTTTAGGGCAGCATGAGCACGTCCACATAAGACAGCAAACTTAACTGATAAATGTTGTGTTTGTTCTGATTGCTCCACCGACTGGTCATTTCCCTCTCTCTCTTCCTCTTCTGGCCCCCCTAGTCCCTGACACACAACAAAATTGAAACTAAGCCAATTAAACACTGTACAATGTCCTCTAAATGTTCAAGTGAAAGTCATTAAATGAAACCTAGAAATTATTAAGCTTAGTGAGAAAGGCATGTCAAGTAAGTATAAATCCAGAGTTGTCCAGCTTGAGCTGAAGTGCTATTAGACCTACCAAGTCATAAGACTGAATGGTCACAGCAACCATCTATTTTATAATGGATGCAATATGTTTTAGGGCAAGAAAAAATGCAAAAGACAAAAGTAGGCTGAATGAACAGTTGGTACAGATCCCTATGTCACTGATGCCTCTCTCTCAGCTTACATATACAGGCTCCTAGGTCCTTCCAACCAGCTGATAACTTTGTAAACAAGCCAGGCCTAATACAAGGACACTTAGGCTAGCTATATTGGCACAATTTGTCAACCACTCAGATGCGGGACCTCAAATGTAATCCATGAGGGTAAACCTACTCTGATAAGTGGAATACATAGATTCATCCCCATCCATAGAAAGGTTCAGAAAACAGGAGCTGGCCCTGTGATTTTACAGAGCTTTATCCTTCCCATAAGGGCAGGATCAGACATTGTCAAAAAAAGAAAAAAAGGAAAATTTTGAAAAGTAAATTTTGCTCAATCCTTATGCCTTATCCATTCTTCTTCTAGACAGGTCAATGAGCCCCAGAGATTATTTAAAACGAATCTCCAACATCTACAGATTGGTGCTCAAAAATAAAGGGTCTGAGTTTCTATCTAAAAAGATCTAATGATTAAAACCCTGGAATTCAAGTTTATTCTCTCACCAGCTTCTGAGTATTTAGGAAAGCAGACTACACTAAAAGA